AATATTATCGAAATTATTAATATATCATGATAAAGCAAGTTTTCCGATTTGATTCTGTGATATATCGCGATTCATGTCCATTGTATTATTCAAAGGCCTTACCCAAATTGAGGATAATAAGACTCAAGTTGCGGAAAACTTTGGAAGTTAATTCAGTTTCCTTCAGGTTTCAGTTTTTCAGGTTTTTTTTAGGTTTTTTCAGACAGAACAAAGTCAGGATATGGTTTATACAGTCAACGTTTACGTCACAGATACGTCACACATAGAAAGACATACGTGTCACATCAAGAGACAATCAGAACATAACAAGACATTGAAAGAACAAAACGGACGCACAATCATAGCAGATACACAACTGGGTCGTTGTGATCTACGCAAGGCCAGACCACTTGTATGTAGCTAACTCCCATAAACTCATGTGTCACATTTATGGTCTGGACATGAACTGAAGCAAACACTGAGGAGGGAAGTGCGACAAACTGTAAAACCCTTGAATATTCAGGACACAGCACTTTATTACCGAAGAAGACATTATACTGTATACAGCACTGAACTTAGATCTGGTGTCTCCAACATTATTCACCCAGAGAGCTACTTTCCCGGGATGATAAAGGCAGAGAGCTACTCCTTTAAGCAGTCCTGGGGGAAAATACATTGTGATATATTGGTGTAAACAAGCCTGATATTAGCTACAGCCACATATTTGTTACTAACGACAAAGTAAGTGAATTTACAATCATAAATTACAATAATGAAAAATACAATCTGAAATATTAAGTATATCATTAAATTTGTTAATTTTTAAATCCTTTGGTGAGGTACCTGGAAGGGTTGGTGAGCTACTGGTGGCTCCCTAGCTACAGGTTGGAGGCCCCTGAAGTAGAGTGTGAAGATAATGGGTCCAAGTACTGATCCTTGTGGCACACCCAATTCTACATAGATGGCTTGGATTAGATCAGGGGTCTCCAACCTTTTTCAATCGGAGAGCTACTTTTATACAAAATAAGAGGCAGAGAGCTACTCATAATAAAAATCTATGAAAGAATTATTATTATTTACACTTATAGATGTGTAATGACTCAATGTATTCATTCAAGATCATTTATTCAATTCTAAATCCTTTGGCGAGCCACCTGAAAGGGGCTGGCGAGCTACTGGTAGCTCCCGAGCCACAGGTTGGAGACCCCTGGATTAGATTATTCAAATACAACAGATATCATAGAGTCACAGATAGATTAAGTTACCAGAGTAAACTCAGAGAAAACACAAAAATGAAACAGCTAAGTATTTAATTATATATTACTCTACAGGTGTCTCCAACCTTTTAGGTAGCTCGCCACCCCCTTCTAGGTAGCTCGCCAAAGGATTTAGAGGCGAGCAAATCAAATAATGTATTCATTTTTGTTATTTATTATTGTAAATGCACTAACTTTGTCACTAGTAACAAATATGTGATGATAAATAATGATTGTACCCATTATCAGACTTTTTCACACCAATATATCACCACATTTTTCCCTGTTTAAAGGAGTAGCTCTCTGTCTTTATCGTCCCGGGAAAGTAGCTCTCTGGGTGAAAAAGGTTGGAGACACCTGCTCTACTGTATAGATTTAATGACAAGATTTTATTTTTTTCCACCACTATTTCACATGCATGTATTATTAGCCCCTGTCACAGTGAAAAAGAGAGGACCGCCCTCTCTCAGCCAATCAGCTCTCAGCACAAAGAGTGACATAATAACTCACAGGGCTAATTCTTACGAAGGAAAGAATGAGGGTTTTTCGCAGACTGTAAACGCCGCCGGAGCCTGGCCTGTGTTTTGTAAATGTTGTTGGAGGAGTTTGTTGCCTGTGTTATGTAAATGATGTGGGCGGGGCTTAGGGAAGTGGGCGGGGCTTGGGCCTGTGTGCTGGAGAGGCAGTGTGTGTAGTTTGACTTTGGGAGTCAGGAAGGCAGTTTCACTCAGAGCTGCTGGGAACATCCTCCACCTGTTCAGACAGCCAGACCTTTGGAGTCTTCCTGTTTACGTGTGGTCCCTGAACGCACCGCAGGTCAGTTCACAAAAATGCTGCTTTTATGGAGAATGTTGCCTTTAAATGCCTTTTTATATTTGTTTTAAGAAGGGTTTAAAACGTGTGTGTGTAAACGCTTTTGGCGCAATTGTTGTAGCCGTTCATGTTTTTTAATGTAAATCATGTTGGAACTTGAGCTATAACTATTTTAGACATTTCTTTCACAGATTCAAATCAAATAATGGATTCTTTATAATAATAATAATTGACTTGAGTAGTTTTATTTGCTGCTGTGATAATTTTAGCTTGAATTAAGACGCTTCATTTGCCTTTAATATGCATGAAGAATGAAGAATAATAAGAATGAAGCAGTAATCATTGCATTTAACGGCAATTTGACTGTTTTTGATCATTTATTTCAAGCGCCGTAGCATTTGTTCTCCACATTTCAAGAGATACATGGATTTATTATTTTAGGCCAAACAAGATTCTTTCTGCTTATTACATATATTTGTTCATTCTTCATTCTTTAAGCACTAATTAAAGCTGGGGTACCTAACTTTTAATGCCATAAATAATTGGGTTTTTAGAGTTTTTAAAGGGTCTAAGGACAGCGGGGATGATCCAGGACATCCAACTTATTAATTTTTATGGAGATTGGTCTCTGCCCCTTATTGACCAATGGCTCGATGTGTTTTTTGATTCTCTGATCTGTGTTGGCGAGTCAACAACTTTGAAAAATTCCTCCGAGATATCTACTGCTGTGATTTAGGGCTATACAAAAACATATGGATTTGAATTGAATTAATAATGTGGGTTTTTTTTCCCCGACCAAACAGCAAAATGTACTATTCATTGTATTTGAAAACATAATATCTTCTTTTGCATACATATAAGAAGGAGCCCTGCCTCTTTATCACTTTTCTGCCTTCAAAAACCTGGTCCAAAGATGTGACAGAGGCCATAAAAACATTGCGTGTGAAAACTAGTCTCAGAAGCAGCCGTTTTAGAACCAGAAACTACCGGCATAGATTCTATTACAGCTTATTTTTAGGCAATTCCTTCTCCCCAAACACGCAGTATGATGGTTGACAAGCTGATCCACTTCTATTTGACTCTATCTGGAACTGGTCAGACATGTTTGCTGAGGGCTCGCTTTGCTTTTCAGCGCTTTTAAATCATCAAAGTGATACTGAGCGGTGGGGAATGCGGCCATATTTGTGTAAAAATCCGTGTACAGTAGCGTTCTGACAGACTCTGCCTTTTCTCATGCTTTTCGTCACACTCTGTTTTACATTTTAGGGGCCGCGGCTGTGATAGTTTGAGGTCACTTAACACATGTGTTCAAATGGACAAGATACACAATGGACCGGCTGAAGGCATCGCCATAGCAACCCCCACAATCGCAAATGAACTCGTATATGTCAGATAATGTATGGGTAATAATAAAACAGGCAGATGCTGAACTGGCGTATACACACACAGGGACTCACACACTTAAAATATGCTAGAACTCCCAAAGCCGTCATTTTGACTGCTCCTATTCAAACCAATGGGATTCTGGAAAAATCCCTCCAACATTTTTTTAGTTTTACACCAGTTTTGTTAAAAGTAAGTCATTTATAAAGGTTTACTCACTTTACTTGTTATGATTAAGAATCTGAGATCCCACGGTGGGGAAATTTCAGGGTTACATCACCGGAAAGAGCCTGGTTAGTGCTGTGATGGGAGACCTCTGGGTACCACGGTGGGGCGGCTGCGGCTGTAAAGTGCCAAACTGTTGTTGCGTCCTTAGGCAAGACACTTCACCCACATTGCCTAAAATTAGTCTGTGTGTGTGTGTGTGTGTGTGTGAATGGTTGGTTGGTGGTGGTGGGAGGGGCTGATTGCACGGACTGGTTCCCTCACTTCTGTCAGAGTGCCCCAGGGCAGCTGGAGCTACAGTTGTAGTTTATCACCACCGACTGAAGGAATAATAACTGAAGCGTGAGTGTCCTGAAAAGCGCTTTATAAAACCATTGCATTATTATTATATCAAATAAATATATATTGATGCATGGACTCTTGGTTTAGAAGTTGGAGAGAACCAGCAGGAGGAGAGAGGAGCAAACACTGTACTTCCAAAATGGATACTGATTGAAGGAAGTTTATTTGAATTGTGCACATTGTTTTAGGACAGTACAGTATATTACAGCAGAAAGAAAGATATCAATATCATTTTCTTTGGGGTTGAACAATATCATAATATATTTCATTTATCACATATCACATTTCTCATCTCGTTCAGCCGCACTTACTTCACACAAAAGTATTTCCTGTTGCTACGGACAACGTCTTTTAACCGAGATTGTGATTAGTTTGACAGTTTGGGCTTGGTTTAACTCTGGGTTAAGAAACATTGTTAATCCAAACTTACCTGGTTTGGATTTCTCTGCGTTTGTTATGATGCAATTTATCCTTGATACCCTCCAGACTGGGCCTTTCTGTGTGGAGTTTGCATGTTCTTCCCGTGTCTGTGTAGGCTTCCTTCAGGTTATGGTTTCCCGGTCACTAAAAACATGTTCATTAGGTCTGAATGTAATGAGAATGGACGGTGATGGACGGGGGCTTTGGTGGACCACAGTGTTCAGCGTTTCACTTCTGTCGGAGGGACCAGTGGCACATGCCGTTTGCCTCACTTCTGTCAGTGTGCCCCAGGGCAGCTGTGCCTACAATAGTAGTTTATCACTAACGTGTATGGAGTGAAAGAATAGTGACTTACTTACCTTACCCTACCACTTCCACTTCTTCGACTCACACCGCTCCTAGCCTATGCTGGGTCACATTAGTCAAACCTCAAACCCCGGATGTCCTCCTGACTGTTGTTCCTCATTTTGAATCCACTTCTTCCTTCAAGTCATATTGTAAGCTAGCATCACATTTCTTTATTCTGTAAGCTGAAACTGAAACTAAAATCCAATATTTACATACGAGCACAGGCTAGTTCTCTCAGAGCCAGCCAGTTTTGATATGTCGTGTGGTCAGCTCCTGGACGTCTAGCCGGGTGACCCCCCAAGTCCACCCCCGGTCCCTGTCCACCCTCTGGTCCAGACTCTGAGCCCACACCAGGCCACCCCCAAGTCCCAGTCCACCCCCTGGTCCAGACTGAGAGTCCACCCCCGGGCCAGCTCGGTGGGGGGTAGAGGGCAGGGCACAGTTGTAGTTTATTGTCATGCTAACACCACAGTACTGCCCCCTTCTCGCTCTCCCACTTTTGACTTCACAGCAAAACAAACACAGACACACACTACCTCATGTACACACATACACACACACGCACACTCAGAATCAGAATGAACAGGCAGTCAAAACTACAAATTTGCTTTGGCTCTTGGTGCAAAGAATAAAAGTAGGTAAAGACATGCACAACAATTAAAATAGACACACAATAGACATATAGCAGTGACCGTATCATAAAGTGACTCATGACTACACACACACACACACACACACACACTTATTCCAACCCACTTGACTTGATAAGCTGCAACCCTTTACACACTACAGACCCGGTTTTAAATGTCATGGCGACCGCAAACATCAGTGGGAAAGGTTGTTAAATAGTTACTTTCGACCCGCTTTGGATTATCACCACAGGGAGGAGTAAATAAAAATCTAAATAAACTTCCCTCTTACAAAATAAGTCTTGCTACGCCACAGCACAGAGCGCACATGACCCCAGGGAACCGCATTATTTTGGACTACGGCAAAAAACTTCAATGTGTTGTTGCTGTTTCTGGAATTTTTCACAGTTTGTCGTGGTAGCCTGCTCTATCTCGGATTGATTCGATAGCAGCTGGATGCCAGAAAGTTTCTGCAACTCAAATTCCATATACAAAAAACTGTGCTTATCTGATAAACGAAGGAGCAAAGGATATCGAACCAAAATGTAATTAGAAAGAAGAGAAGAAGAGAGGCACCCCGATGATGTAAAGTAGCTATTTATCTGCCTTGTGTCCTCTCTTACTATTCTGATCCTAAACAACTTGGACCTGTAGAGTAGAGTAGAGTAGAGTAGAGTAGTGTTGTGTACAGTAGAGTAGAGTAGAGTAGTGTTGTGTAGAGTAGAGTAAGGCAAGGCAAGGCAAGGCATGTTTATTTGTATAGCACAATTCATACACAAGGTAACTCAAAGTGCTGAACAAGATAGCATTAAAATCATAAATAATCACAGAACATTAAAAAGAAAGATAAAAATATAAAATCCCTCAGTTGTATGCACAGCTAAACAGCACAGTTTTTAACTTGGTTTTAAACATAGTCAGAGAGGAGGCCTGTCTCACATCTTCAGGAAGAATGTTCCAGATTTTAGCAGCATGAATCTGAAAAGCAGCCTCCCCATGTTTAGTTCTGACTCTGGGCACTAACAGGAGTCCAGTCCCTGTGCTCCTCAGAGTCCGGGCTGGTTCATATGGGACTAACATGTCACTAATATATTTTGGTGCGAGGCCATGGAGAGACTTGTACACAAGCAAAGCTGTTTTAAAGTCTATTCTCTGAGCCACAGGAAGCCAGTGCAGAGACCTGAGGACCGGACTAATATGGTCGTACTTCCTGGTTCTAGTCAGGACTCGAGCTGCTGCATTTTGAATGTACTGCAGCTGTTTTACAGCCTGTTTGGACAGACCTGTGAGCAGGCCATTGCAGTAGTCTAACCTACTGGAGACAAATGCATGGATAAGAATCTCCAAGTCTGCTTTAGACACTATGTTTTTGATCCTGGAAATGTTTTTTAGATGGTAAAAAGCTGCTGATGTTACTGATTTGATGTGGCTATTAAAATTTAAGTCTGAGTCCAGTATTACCCCTAGATTTCTGACCTTGTTTGAAGGTTTTAGGGAGAGAGACTGTAGATGACAGATGACGCTCTCTCTTTGTTTCTGGGGACCAAAGACAATCATTTCAGTTTTGTCTGCGTTTAGCTGAAGGAAGTTGTTTTGCATCCACTCACTGATCTGTTGGATACAGTGAAGGAGTGAGTCCACTGGTCCATGTTCTCCTGCAGTCAGTGAGACATAGATCTGAGTGTCGTCTGCATAGTTATGATAGGAAACTTCGTTTCTGCGTATTAACTGACCTAACGGCAGCATGTAGAGATTGAAAAGAAGAGGTCCCAGGATCGACCCCTGTGGTACTCCACAGGTCAGGGCCATATGATCTGAGACACAGTTTCCAATCTCCACAAAGTACTTCCTGTCTTCAAGGTAAGACCTAAACCAACTTAGGGCGGTGCCAGCGACGCCAACCCAGTTCTCTAGTCTCTGTAAGAGGATCTCATGGTCGACAGTGTCAAAGGCAGCACTCAGATCTAACAAGATTAGGATTGAGACTTTGCCTGCGTCAGTGTTTAGCCGGATATCGTTTGTAACCTTGACGAGAGCAGTCTCAGTGCTGTGGTGGGGTCTAAAGCCGGACTAAAACATATCAAATGAGTTGTTGATTATAAGAAATCTATTTAGCTGTTGGTAGACAACTTTTTCAAGGACTTTCCCCATAAATGGCAGATTTGAGATGGGACGGTAGTTGTTAAGTACCGTAGCATCTAGACTGCTCTTTTTAAGCAGGGGCCTGATGACTGCAGTTTTCAGGGCCTTTGGGAATATTCCAGAATGAAGGGACATGTTTACTATCTGTGTGAGTGAAGGTAACAGACTGCTCAGAACAGACTTTAGAAATCTAGTGGGTAGTACATCCAGGCTACATGTGGAGGCGCTCAGACTGGAGATTATCTCTTGGACAGTTTGATCATTTACAGGTGCAAAGTAAGTTAGCTCAAAGAGCCTTTTAGGCTGTTGGATGGTTATCTGTGGATTGGAGACAATGGCGTTTTTGATGCCTTGAACCTTGTCATTGAAAAAATGTGCAAACTCATTACATTTACGTTTGGAAGTTAGCTCTAATGGCATCTGAACAGGGGGGTTTGTTAATCTATTAACTGTTGAAAACAGAACACGCAGATTGTTGCTGCAGCCTTCAATCATTTCAGAAAAATACCTTTCTCTCGTACTACGTAGCACCTGGTTAAACTCGCACAACTTATCTTTGAAGATCTCGTAGTCAACCTGGAGGTTGGACTTGCGCCACTTCCGCTCGGCCCTCCGGCACTCTCTCTTTTGTGCCCTGACCGAGTCTGCTTTAGCCCACGGCGCCTTCTGCTTATTTTTCACTGTTTTAACCTTCACAGGAGCGATGGTGTCCAGAACATTCAAAACACTAGAGGTGACAGAGTTAAACAGTTCATCTACAGTAGAATACGATGCATTCTCAAAGTTTATCATTCCCATAAATATGTTCACCCGTATTTTCATTTATGTGTCTTCTTCGTACAGTTGCAGAGTCCACTGGTGGTTTGTTAGTGAAACACATGTCAAAAAATACACAAAAATGATCCGAAAGCGCAACATCGACCACGTTTACATTTGAAATATTCACCCCCTTAGTAACTAACAGGTCTAGAGTGTGCCCTCTGCTGTGGGTGGGGCCACTCACATGCTGAGTGAGACCAAAAGATTCAAGAACAGAACTCAGCTCTTTTGCCTTTCTGTCAATAACATTATCCACATGAATATTAAAATCCCCTGTAATAACTAAGCTATCAAAATCTGTGCATAAAACTGAAAGAAACTCCGTAAAATTATCAATAAATCTGTGACATGACTGTGGTGGCTTGTATAGGACAATGAAGAGTATTGGACTAGATTGTTTTTGTTGTATTTTAAAAGACACATATTCAAAAGACGGAAACTTCCCAAGAGACATTCTATGGGAGACAAAGTGGTCTCTGAAAATGGCAGCTAAGCCTCCTCCTTTTTTGTTTCCCCGTATTTCAGATTCAAATTTGAAATTTGGTGGTGATGCTTCTATTAAAACTGCATTTTCTGTATTTTGGTCAAGCCATGTTTCAGCCATGAACATAAGATCTAGATTATAAGAACAAATAAAATTATTGATTAAAAAAGACTTGTTACAAAGAGATCTGACATTTAGCATAGCAAGTTTCAAAGTTTCAGTATCAGCGGTTGTGGTCGGCTGATTCTTACACGGAACAAGAATTAGATTTTCCTGATTAGACTGATTAACTTCAGATGTTTTTCTGTAATGTATTCTTTGTGTTATCACTAAAGGAATGGCACAGGTGGCTTCATGACAGGGCCCCAGCCGGGTCTCTCCTCTAACTAGACTGCCAGTGGCTGCGAAGCAGAGACCCTGTGCATCCTAGTGCTTAGAGAGAAGAGGGGAAGGGGAAGGTGGGGGAAGAGGATGGAGAGGCAGGTGGTTCTTGGGAGTTGGACGGGGGGGGGGGGGTTGAAGGTGGATGGGTTTTTGGTGATGGGTTAGGGGAGGGGCAGGCTGAGTTGGGTGGTGGACGAGGGGGGAGTGGAGGTGGAGGGTTTCTTGGTGCTGGGTTAGGGGGGAGGTGGGCTAAATGAGCAGGAGGGGGGGGTGGAATACTTATGGGGTTAGAGGAGGGACGGGTGGATTTTGTGGGAGAATTTGAGTTGGACGCCCTAGGTAGCTTTGGAGGTACGTATGGGGAGTGGTTTTGAATGTTAGATAGGACTCTTGATCTGGCTACAGTGGGTGTGAGAGGAATAGTCTTCATCGCCGATCTTATCATGCCTGCCGAGTGTTCCGGTAATTCCAGTAGTGAAGGCGGGGATAGAAAACAAAGGGAAAGGTCGTCCTCATTTTCCCTAGATGGAGTGGATGTAGCGGGGGGGACCCAAGCCGGGTCCATGGAAGGTGATGAGGGAGTCTTTGGTGGAGACAGAGGTGGTTGAGGAACCCCCAGTACAGGCCTGACTGTAGCCTGGAGCAGTGGGGGAAGCTTCACGGGAGCTGTAGGTGGGGAAGGTGCTGCTGAAGATGATGGAGCAGCCACTGCTGCTGCTGTATCCACTGCTGCTGCTGAAGATGATGGAGCAGCCACTGCTGCTGCTGAAGATGATGGAGCAGCCACTGCTGCGGCTGTATCCACTGCTGCTGGTGGTGCTGTATATGCTGATGGCGCTGATGAAGATGTGGCAGCTGCTGATGATGCTGGTGGTAGAGGCGTTGAGCTCTTTCGGAGCCGTGGAGGTGTTGAGTTCTTTTGGAACCTTGGAGGTGTTGAGTTCTTCTTGAATCGTGGAGGTGTGGAGTTCTTTTGAGGCGGTGGGGGTGCAGAGACCTCG